ACGACGCTATGGAACAACGACGCTATGGAACAATCTCCCCGTGGAGATCCGCACCCTCACCACCGTCCCTCAAGATCTGGCTATCCCGTCAGGCCTGGGGATAGGACTTTACTCTCTCCCCGCCCGAATGCTGAGTGAATGTTGTGCTTTTATTGTTAATTATTTTTTACTCACATTTTCTTTTATGTCTTGTCTTGCACTCCCCTCCCTTATTATTGTAAGCTGCCCTGAGTCCCCTCAGGGAAAAGGGCGGCCTATAAGTGTTCAATAAAACTCAAACTAAAACTAAAACTCTGTGTGCTACCTGTGACACACGTGCCATAGGTTTGCCATCACAGCTATAATTTATATTTTTAATACGTAGGAATATTTTGGAGGAATATTCAGAAAGCACTAAGGAACTGAACAAGTCACATTTGTCCTAAGTGACATCAGATTAAACAGACTCCTAATTAACTTAACTTAGAGTTTTGTGATCCAAAAGGTAGAGGAGGGAACTAGAGGAAGAACTACCATGTTTCTCCGAAAATATGACATGTCCTGATAAGTCCTCTCCCACAAATAAGCGTTCTACAAGGCCAGAGAGGGAGGTTGCACAAGCTGCTGTTCCGTTCATGTGCCTCCCAGCCTCATGATGCCCTGGCCCAGATCTCCCTGCAGAGCAAGGGCACCTCCGCTGCCACCGCCACCATCCCAGCATGGCTTTTTCAGTAGCTTCCAAACCAAGTCTTCCGGCCCTGGCCGCTCTGGGCGTACGTTCTATGGTTGTGGACCGGATGCCGGCAGAGTGTACTCCCCGAGCATACAACCATAGAGTGTAGGTCCAGAGCAGCCACTGCCGGAAGACTCAGTTTGGAAGCCGCTGGAAAAGCCATGCTGGGATGGCGATGGCGGCAGCGGAGGTACCCTGGCTCTGCAGGGAGAGGTGGACCAGGGCATCGTGAGGCTGGGAGGTGTGCGAGCAGGAGCAGAACAGTCGCTCATGCAACCCCCCTCTCCAGCTGTGCAGAGCACCATTCACTGGCATTTCGAAGGTGCCAAGCCGCGGGAGTCGGGTGGCAGCAAACAGGTGCTCACGTGGCTTGGCAATACCCCTAGGTCAGTGAATGACGCTGTGCCCAGCTGGAAAGGAGGTTTGCCAGGTGGCTGATCGTGAGCGTCGTTGCTTAATGGCTGCTGTGTTGCGCTGCTGTAACAGCGCAACACAGCCATTCGCCCCTGAGGCTGTGCCCAGCTCTTTGGGAGTCTGCTCGCAAGAGAGCAGCTGCCCAGCAACTCCAAAACAATAAGCCTTCCCTGATAATAAGGCCCAAGCCATATTTTGTGGGTCCAAAGAAAATAAGACCCTGTCTTATTTTCAGGGAAACACAGTATACTGGATCTAATTCTTACTAATAGAGAAGAATGATAAGAGTTGAAGTTACTGGGACCTTGGGTGAGAGTGATAGGCAGAATAAGAAACAATGGATGGAAATTAATCAAGGAGAGAAACAACCTGGAATTGTCCTAACACTGAGGACAATTAATCAGTGGAACAGCTTGCCTTCAGATATTATGGGTACTTCATCACTAGAGATTTTTAAGTCTGAAATGGTATAGAATCTCCTGCTTGAGCAGGGAGCTGGACTACAAGACCTCCAAAGTCCTTTCCAGCACTATTCTGATTCTGATTCTTTTTAACCATTTCAAAGCTAGATTGTTCATAATATAAGGAGATATTTTCAAGTTATTTCTGAATTATTAGATAAAATCTAATAGCACCTGAAAAACTGTTAAAATTATTTTTTCAAGTTTTCTATGAATTAAGAACTACCATTTTGAGAAGCTTGTAATATAAATACATATTTAAATAAAACCAATAGAACAAAATATAAAAAAGAAATTAAAATATAATCTTCATGATTTAGTATCCCAAATTAGACACCCTGGCACAAGTTTACTAAAAATTTGTCACATGAAGACTACAGACACACCCTGTGAACTAAAAACACAGCATGTAAGATTCTATTCCAAATTATAAATATATGATTCTAATATTATATTACTAAAAAAAACCATAATGGATCCATGCACGGTAAAGAATTATGTTTTTCTCCCAGGCTGAAATGATATCGCTTGCAACTGGAGAGGTCACATAACATACCAGGATTAATAGGGTGTCATTTGTTCCAAAGTCACCCAATTATTAAAACAAGTTCTGGCGATCTTAGAAAATAGCATATAAATAGCAAATTGCATGTATGAAGATAAACTTTTTCCTGGACTATTTGCTGGAGATAACTACAGAAAAATAGGTGACTGGAAAAATGATCTTATTAACTGTTTCTTGAAATTTTAATTGCTAACTGGTGAAAATATCATTTGTAGAGTGAGACAATCACAGAACAGCTAAGATGTTCTCTTAAAATCAGACTATTTGCTATGTCTGGCCATCACAGACCTGGTGTTAGAACATGCCAAAAGTAGATATGATTAACAGTGAGTTACAGCTAGGAATAATACACTATTTCTTAGAACTATGGAATAATATGAAGTGCAGTATTCACTTTGTTGTTTCTTAGTAATAAGAAGCAACCAATTACATTTAAAAAGACTTCCATATGTATCTATGTCAATGGTGGGTTACGCGTACCGGTACCTGCCGGGAGCACGAGATACAGTTCCAGTATGGTGCTCCCGAGAGCCCACCAACCCGTCCGTGCTCCTTACTGGTATTTGAAGTTTTTGGGGCTTCTGCGCACACGCACAGAGCATACGGCACCTGTGCGGCACTCCACCAAGCAGCTGGAGCATTGCAGAGGCGTCGTGGAGCGTCACGGGCGGTAAGTACCGCATGCTCATGCTGCACACGTTCATGTGGTGGGCGCCCAGCTCTGTTGCACTGTACCAGTTGCAATGAGATCCGGAACCCACCACTGGTATGCATCGTACCAGTTGCATCGTACCAGTTGCAATGAGATCCGGAACCCACCAGAGATCTATGTAGATTGTTTCTTCTTTCAGGGCCCTTGCCAAAGACATAAGACTGATAACTAGTAAAAAAGGCATTTATAATGCTGGCACGACAATTACAGACTATTGTCCCCAGGCAATCTAACCTTGTCAGAGCAAGCTGAAGATTTTTTTTTTCTGGCTTTGTTACTTACACAATTATAAATATAAATTTAATGCTTCTTCAATAACTGCTGTCCCCTCTATTGAATTTACCTTGCTTCAGTTTTAAGTTGCCATATGGTCATTCCATGTCATACTTTACTGGTCTCACATTTTATGTCCTCATTTTTGTTTTGTGACCCACTTGTAGCACTTGGGAATACAGAAAAAGTATAAAATTCCAGGCATAAATAAATTAAAAGAACAATTGAGATAATTACTGTCATTTTCTCCATAGAATCTCTTGAAAAGACTTGACAAGTTGCATCGACTTCACTTCCTATCATACGGTAGATGGATTCCTGTTCAGTTTTCAGACTTTGTAGTTGATCATGAAGTTGAAGCCTCTCTCCATCCAACCTCCTTAGGTGATCATCTTCACTATTTATTATTTTATTCTAAAGCAAACAATAACAAAGTGGAAACAATAAATTTATCATGTATTTACAACTTAGTGCAGCACAGTCACAGGATAAAATACTCTAGCTACCTAGAGTAGCCCCACGGCAAGATAAGCGGTAAATAAATTTAACAGATAAATAAATAATAAATAAAAACAGCAACTGATACCATTACAAACTAAAAACCTTTGAAAAACCACAGAATAAAATAAGGAACACTTTAACTAAAAGGGCCCATGACATATAATAAAATGACAATTGTACACTGAAAACATTGTCTTCTCTATATTTTCAATATTGGGGGGAAAAAATCTCCAGAAATATGTAGATACTTCTTAGTCATTCTGTGACTCTGATAATACCCAATTATATGTCTGGAGACACCTTCATATTTCAAATAAAACTTTTAACAACACAATCCTCGCATCAACCAAGCCTCTTCCAGAGTTTTTTTCTTTTACAGTTTAATTATATTGTTTGATGAAGAATGTGTGGACAGTTAAAACCTTTCAAATATTGCTATCCAGTTTGACTTCAGTGAAAATTGTTTTCAAAAAAACAGGTCAATCAACAAAACCGTAATCACAGATTTCCTGTTGCAAGTTTGACAAAATTAAGACAGCAAAGCTTCTTCCCTCAAATTAGCACTCTTTATGGTCTATTTTCTCTCTTTCTTTCTCTTGATCTTAAGCCACAGCCAATGAACTCATCTCCAACTAAGCAGAGTACATAATAGTTGTATCCACTATGGTAGTTGAACCATTTGCAAGGAACAGGCAGATATTATTTGATGGTGTTAAAGGTATCATTGCAGTATATAAGCTGTTTCAAGTAAACCTGCCTTTGGCAACTGACTGATGGTGATTTTGTCAATGCTAATAGTGTTAAAGTGGTACTCCACTTTTGGGATAGCACTCAAGATGCTTATTACTAAATATTCTACCTTTGTTTTCTTTTGTCACAGTAGTTCTATTTGCAGATGTTTGCATTTTGTGATTTTCTCCACTTCTTTCTCTTCTGTTCTGCTGTCTTCAGGTACTACCATCTCCACTATCCAAATTTCTGATTTTGCTTATCAATGTTTGCAAAATCTGAAGTGTTTAAGTGGCAGTTTCTTGTCCATTTGAATCCTAAAATCCCAGAGCACTTTATCTTCTTCATTTTCTATTAAGTTGTTTTCACAAATGAAAACAAATATACATGTCCCAGGATAATGTTGCAGGATCCAATCTGGGGCAGTTACCGGGACCAGAGGTTTAGTCTTCTGAACTTTTGGACTCATGCTGGAGCATATCCTCAGGGAACTTCTCTCTAGCAGCTTTTTAAATGCACCGTTGTTGCTACTTTGTCATGTGCTTTATAGTCAAGGTGTCTGTGTGAACATCTTGAGCAGTTAACTAGGTAGCCTCTTCTATCTTTGCATTTTCTATCTCTTCTGTCTTCTCAATTCTGATCTGATATGTATTTTTTCATAAGGTTTGGTTTTGTGCAGCCATAATTAGACCTCTGTCTCTTTCTGCATTTTCCTGCTCTTAGACACTGTCAAATCTTCTTGCGCTTGGCCTGCTATTTTTAATGTAAAGGTAAAGGTTCCCCTTACTCATATATGCTAGTCATTTCCGACTCTAGGGAGCAGTGCTCATCTACGTTTCAAAGCCGAAGAGCCAGTGTTGTCCAAAGACATCTCCATGGTCATGTGGCGGCATGACTAAATGCCGAAGGCGCACAGAACGCTGTTACCTTCCCACTAAAGGTGGTTCCTATTTTTCTACTTGCATATTTACATGCTTTAGAACTGCTAGGTTGGCAGAAACTGGGACAAGTAACGGGAGCTCCTTCTGTTACACAGTGCTAGGGATTNCCAAAGGTGGTCCCTATTTTTCTACTTGCATTTTTTTACGTGCTTTCGAACTGCTAGGTTGGCAGAAGCTGGGACAAGTAACAGGAGCTCACTCCGTTATGCGGTGCTAGGGATTCGAACCGCCAAACTGCTAACCCTTCTGATCGACAAGCTCAGTGTCTTAGGCACCGAGCCACCGCATCCCCTCTGGGAAAGGTAGATTGGCTTAAAATATAGAGGTGCCAAGGAGAATGGAGGACGGGCCAAGTTCACATGCGGTGTGGTGAAGGGGCAGACAAAACCTCCCACAATCTAAGCTTTGCAAAGAAGGAATCTAATAACAGAAGATACATATGGTGAAGCTCTGAGAAGCAATTCATAGGAAACTCCCCTACTGAGGACTCCAGGCCACTGTTTATCTCCAAAGGGATGAGATTCAGAAGGAAAGACATTACAACTGACTATCTGTCCTGGGTCCCAGGAAAAGGACCTAAACAACAGGGAGTAATATGGAGTCTTTCTCCTTCCTGTGAAGGAAAAAAAAAGCGTGGTTGCCTGGCTAAGGAAGATAGGATTCCAAGGTTACAAAAACACAGTGTGTTTTATTTAGCCAGGTGGCAGGCCAATTAAGGAGAAAGCTTTGGAAACAGCTGGCGGGGAGAAAAAAATAGCTTTCCAGACAACCTTGCTGTCTTTATTCAGAAGTGTTTTGTTGTCTAGAATTTTATTCTGATGATGTCTCTTTGATAAGACTTATAAATGTCATTTTGGTTACAATTACATTGGCTATTGGATGGAAGAGAGGGTGGAAACCTGCTAATGGAGTGGCAGTCTCCCTCTAAGTGTTAGGATTATAGGACATTACTATTCCAAATACATGTGGGTCTTATTTTCTTTTTACTCCCGAAATAAGCACTTGACCTTATTTTTGGGGAGGTCTTATTATTTTTGAGGTGCAGGAAGCAGCGAGCATGGTCACCTCATGGCTGCTGCTCTGTTGCATTATTGTCAGGAAGGGCTTATTTTCGGGGGAGGGCTTATTTTAGTGCATGCGCTCAAAAGCCCGGTTAGGCTTATTATCCGGGGAGGTCTTATTTTCAAGGAAACGGGATATTGGTATCTTATGATCATATTACTTGTTTCTATGTACACTGAGAAATTATGCACCAGAGACAAATTCTGTGTGTGTCTAATAACACTTGGCCAATAACGTATTCTATTCTATTCTAAACGCATGCCTGAGTACTCACTGTATACTCATGATAGAAGAGGGCAGGGGTTATACTGAGCGTGGTGGCACAGTGGTTAGAGTGCAGTACTGCAGGCTACTTCTGCTGACTGCCGGCTGCCTGCAATTTGGCACATCAAATCTCACCAGGCTCAAGGATGATTCAGCTTTCCATCCTTCTGAGGTTGGTAAAATGATTGTTGGGGGCAATAGAGCCGAGGTGGCGCAGTGGTTAGGGTGCAGTACTGCAGGCTACTTCTGCTGACTGCCGGCTGCCTGCAATTTGGCACATCAAATCTCACCAGGCTCAAGGATGATTCAGCTTTCC